CCCATGAGATGGTGGTGGCTGATTCCACAAAAATCAATCTTGAAGTTTCGACTAAAATATCGATCATATATGTTAAGGCAAGCCATAGTTTGATTTTACCCTTAAAAGTTAAAACCCAGAAAAAGCCCACTTGATAGTTTGATATATTTGAATCTGGAACCCTAATCGTGATGTCTATGACTACAACCATACAAAAAACTCCTGCTTTATTGCTTCTCAATGTCATGCCATATTATCCTATCCTTTCAAAGATGTGTCACTTCTTTGCAAGTGGATTCTAAACCATATGGTCTTGTTTTGTCCTCTAAAAAAATCCACAAAGCAACAATTTTTCTAAAGCAGATGTTACAGTGACAAAAATCAGGTTGACATACAATTTGAACGACACTCATAAAATAGGGGGCCCACTTTTTTTTTTGAATTTTTAATTCAAATGAAATCCGCGTGCATGTGTGAGGTGGTCACCGCCTCTGTTGCCCATTTTTTGTCACTGGGGCTTAATTCTTTTTTCGAAATTATTACTTGACATTAATTAATACCCCATTTAGTTTCTGTTTTATCTATAAAAAAAATTTTCTCTCCTCTTTTTAATCATATATTCCTCAATAAAATAATATTATATGTAAACTCAAAACTTTTTTTTTCGTTTTTAACCATACATTCTTAAAATAACCACTATTTCAAAATAAATTTTTATGGAGCTCAAACAGGAGTTGATTATGATATGTTATGCAATGACCTAAAAAAAAAGAAAGAAAAAAAAACTCATATTCATAAGAGACATTAACTTGGCAAAACACGGTAGGAAATGGAACACTAGATCGAACTAACATGGGTAGTTGTAATTGCTCAAGATTTAATTTTTTGAATATAATATAATTTTTATCAACCAAAACCATAATGGAGAGGAATTATTTATTATAATGAAAGAAATAAAAAGTACAAACTTAGGAGGAATATACAACTTAAATTTTAGTTTAAACTACAACATTAGAAAAATTGAGCAATAGTAGACTGGAACTACATATGAATTAGCCTGCACTACATCTCGTGTGGCCTCGTCACACATTGTGTTATCATATGTCTAATCAAGTACTTTGTCGACTCATAGTATGTCAGATTGTATCCAGACTCTTCATCATATCCCTCATCAATATCATTGCTAGGTATGAGTCCCTCGAAGAAGTAATAATGCTGTGTTTGCTCTAAGGTTGGTCACATGTTGCTCACATATTCTTGAGCACGATCTTAAATGACAATCCCTTCATTCCACTTATCTCGCTATGAATTTTTTCCATGCTATATAACATGTTATTGGAAATCTAAACACGAACAAAACCTTGTAATGAAAAGGGGTTGCCTCGTCAACTCTTAATTGATTAATACTAGTCAAGGATTACAGGTTGGGGACCTAGGAATAAGTCGCCCTACAGCATCTTGATATTGCTCGCGGTCAAGGTACAAACGTTATTTTTGTATGCTGCCCGTTATAATTAATAACGTTAGGCTACAACTCGTATTAATTTATTAATACCACAAGGATGATTGATTGATATAGGAACTTGATTTTGATGGTTGTTCATGAGGATCCCGGCATTGACCTTATATCTCCAATTAACATTATACAAATAATATGTGGACATGACATGACGCGGGAGGAAAAAGAGGGGGGGGGGGGGGGGGGGGGGGGGGGGGGGGGAAGTAATATGACAACAAATTATAAGTCCTTGCAATTTCATTTTACTGATATACACAATTTTTAAAAATAAATGAAAAGAACTTCTGATATCGTGTTGGACTTAAAGGTATAAACGAATGCCCATTTTGGGGGCACTTGACCTTGTCCGACAAAGACCATCAGCATTGACCCCAGCCGTGCTAGATCCAAATAATTTTTAACCTTCAATTTGCATATATTTTTTTTCTCCTTTTCGAGGAAAAAAAAAATCATGTGGGGCTGGCTAAGCAAGTTACAGCCTTAAGGGTTTAGTCTAGGCTAGGGCTGTCAATGAAATGAATTTTGATCCGAATTCGATGAAATTAATGTGAGATGGATTTCTGGTCTCAATCCAATAATCTGATCAAGATTTGAATCTAATAATCCGTTAACTAAATGAAGCATATATGGATATAGGTCACTTTGATCCTATAAGAACCACATCCGATGTATTATAATAATATAATATATTTTACATATTATTGCATAATTTATTAAACGTGATTTTTTTTCTATTTTGAAACTTGTATGATACTTTACACATAATTTTCAAATAATAAATAATATTAGATGATGGTATAATATTGTTAATTGAAATATTTGAAGCGGTTTATTTTTTTTATGAATTAAAATAAGATAAAAATAATAATTAATTTATTTTATTAATTAAACAACCAAAAGTGCCAACAGTTGGAATTGCTTTCATTATTCTCAACTTCTTACTTTCAACATCAGATACTCACTAAAATATCATAAGATTTAAAATCTATAAATAAGTGGACAAAAAATTGGGTAAAAGGCTATCTGGACCTTTTAATTTTAGCGTTCAGAAGTTGACTAATATAAATTTTCTCTATTTCTAATTTTTTCAAATTCGATCGGATTGAATATTCGACAATATAGCACATCAGATATGAATTTAATAATCAAATATCCGTTGGCGAATCGAATTGAATAATTATTCTTATCGGATTAGATCGAATTTGGATAGGGGGAATGAAAGTTGTTGGGTGACGAAAGAGGTCTAGCTAATCAATTGGTCGAGAATTTGATTCAAATTCGATCTATTTACAACCCTAATTAAAATCAATTGTGCTACATAAACATGTACTGATTACGATTGAGCTATCTAGCCCGTTATTTTCCTTGGAACACAACCCTAATTCTAGCTCAATCTTGTTCCTTCTAATCGGACACTGGAACGCCAATCGTGAATTATATTAAGGGGCCGTTTGAGCCCCATTATTTATAGATTATAATGAGATGAGTAGTGTTTTTTTGAAAAATGAATGATTGAAAAGTTTTTAATTTATGTATAATATTATTTTATTATAGTTAAAAGTAGATGAGAAAAAAAATTAATTTAATGTAATAAAAAATAATGTGGTTCAAACAGGGCTAAATGGTTCCTCTTGACCAAATTTATGTGGGACACAATATTCTTAACAGTTGCGGATAAAAATGGTGATTATTTTTAACAGAGGAAAAAGACAAGTTTGTCCTGCAAATTTTACTGATTTCTAGGTTCGTGGAAGTGCATGTCATGTGTCTTTAGCTGTGTTCCGCGTGAGATCATCAGATTCAGGTGAAAAAGGATTGGTAATAGGCCACGTGTGTGTGATGTTGGTCTGCCCTTGTGCTAGTTTGTACTTTCCACTGACTACAAACTGTTTATTTTAAGATTTTCATTTTTTCCAATTACAAAAGTTATTATAAGAGAAAATTGCTTGAAATGTCCAGTTTCATATATCAATTTACAAAAATGTTCACTTTCACAAATTCTTATAAAAATATCCATTTTGGAATTTTTGGACAAAAATATTCCTGTGAACAATTTATGATTCCATACAAAGACAAGAAATTGACATTTTTGCAAAAAAATTATTGACCAATAAATTTTTGACACATAGCCTGTCATATTTATTTCAAAAGTGCACATGTCAAATCACAATTAATGCTATTTTTTTCATTGACACAGAAACGTCAAGAATTACATTTCAAGTGTAGAAAATTGTCATATTCAGAATGAAATATCATTCTAGATATTTAAAATATCGAGAATAACGTTTGAAATGTCGAGAACATTTAATATTTTGATTTGACAGATGCACTTTTAAAATATAAACGGGATTCAAATATCGAGAATGACATTTGAAATGTCGAGAACATCATTTTAATATAACTTCTCATAGAAGCTACTTCTCGAAATCAATAACAAATTGAAAAAATAAATAAATTGCTTATTTTTTCATAAAGGGCATAATAGACAATTTAGTGCTAAATTTAAAAATTGGACATTTTTAAATTGACACTCCTGAAATTAAACATTTTTGAAAATACCCCTTATTATAATTTGAACAACTTGATGAATTCGTAATTGATGATGAATTAGGGGCAGTGAACGAGGAAGTCTGATAGAACTGTTCCGGGAAATTGAGAGATTGCAATATTCAATTCTTTTGTCGTGATGTTCATTTAACTCGATAAACTTTAATAACATCGTATAACGAAAGAAGATAAGTTACAAAATTCTATCAAACTTACCTTACATACAGTATTTTCTTGTCATTTTTATGCACTTCATAAAAAAAATCTGCCACGTGGTCATTTTAAGATTTTTTTAAAATTTTTTTTTTTAATTACAAAAGTTATTATAATTTGAATAACTTGATGAATTCGTCATTGATAATGAATTAGGCGCAGTGAATGAGGAAGTCTGATGAACTGTTCCGGGAAATTGAGAGACTACAATGTTCAATTCTTTTGTCACGATGTTCATTTAACTTGATAAACTTTAATAACATTGAAAGAAGTGAAGAAACAAAATTCTGTCAAACTCAACTTACACAGCATTTTCTTGTCATTTTTATGCACTTCACAAAAATCTGCCACATGGTCTCCTCATACAAAGCTTAAGGTGGACATCCATAAACTAAAATACTCGTTTATTAAATAAAAATAAAAATAAAAAAGTTGAACCCCAACCTTGAAGGCTCCCACCACCCCGCCCCTAGAACTGTATGAGGGAGGTAAATCGCGGGACGTGCCACAACAGGTCACGGAACAAGAGCTGTCAGTACACTGCGCCTACAAAAAGTACAATTTTGTGTTTTAGGAATCGAACCCTCATATTGCGGCTGTCAGTAAGGCGTAAGATAACCTCACTCCTACCCTTTGCACAACTAGACTATGCCCGGATGGGAAAAAAAAAAAAAATACTCGTTTATTATCTCTATTTAAACCCCATTCTTCTTCTCCCTCTCACCCAAAATCCGCCTCTTCTTTTAAAATTTGTCTCTGTTGACCAAAACTGAAAAATTTTCTTCTGAATTTTAACATTGTAAATAACTTGAGAACAAATACACATGGCTTCTTCTATGGCACATACCCAGTCAATCTCTATTAGGAAGCCCAAGAGAAGAGACAAAATTCACCGTGCTCTACACTCCTCCTCTGTTCTCACTTTCCCAAAAGGCCCCATTGAAATACCAACAATCACGAGAAAGGAATCACCGGCGAAGACATCTCCACCCCCGGCGTCGTCGCCGCCATTGCCACAGTGGAACATGCTACAGAAAGCCGCAGCCAAGGCGTTGGACGCGATGGAAAGTGCGTTAGTCTCAAGCGAGCGGCAGATTCCACTACCTAAGACTGCGGACCCTCGTGTTCAAATTGCCGGAAATTTCGCTCCGGTATCGGAGACTGCCGTCAAGCATAACCTTCCGGTGGCAGGCACGATTCCCCACTGCATTAATGGTGTTTACGTGCGAAACGGTGCCAACCCTTTATTCGAACCAGTCTCCGGCCACCACCTCTTCGACGGCGATGGGATGATCCATGCAGTGACAATTGAAAGTAGAAACTCTGCGAGCTATGCGTGCCGCTTCACCGAGACAAAAAGGCTCGTTCAAGAACGTGAATTAGGCCACCCCGTGTTCCCAAAAGCCATTGGAGAGCTCCATGGGCACTCTGGTATAGCCAGGCTCCTCCTTTTCTATGCCCGTGGCATATTTGGGCTTCTTGATCACAGCCATGGGACCGGAGTAGCCAATGCGGGATTGATCTACTTTAATCAAAGACTATTAGCCATGTCTGAAGATGATCTTCCCTATCAAGTGAGGATCAAGCCGTCTGGTGATCTTGAAACAGTAGGCCGCTATGATTTTGACGAGCAATTGAGGACGACAATGATCGCTCACCCCAAGATTGATCCTGTTTCTCGTGAACTCTTTGCTTTAAGCTACGACGTTGTTCAAAAACCATATCTGAGGTACTTCAAATTCTCCGCCGACGGAAAGAAGTCACCGGATGTTGAGATATCATTGGACGTGCCGACTATGATGCATGATTTCGCGATCACCGAGAACTACGTGGTGATTCCCGACCAACAAGTGGTGTTCAAGCTTCAAGAAATGATTAAAGGTGGTTCTCCAGTGATATATGACAAAAACAAGAAATCTAGGTTTGGGATTTTGTCAAAAACAGCTGAAAATGCAAACAACATTATATGGGTTGATTGCCCTGATACGTTTTGCTTTCACTTGTGGAATGCTTGGGAGGAGCCGGAGACTAATGAGGTTGTGGTGATAGGCTCATGCATGACTCCTCCGGACTCAATTTTCAACGAATGTGATGAAAATCTGAAGAGTGTTTTATCAGAAATCAGGCTCAATTTGAAGACTGGTAAATCAACAAGGCGGCCTGTTATTCATGCATCAGAACAGATTAATTTAGAAGCCGGAATGGTGAACCGAAACCGGCTTGGTCGAAAAACTAGGTACGCGTATCTTGCAATTGCTGAGCCATGGCCTAAAGTTTCAGGCTTTGCTAAAGTCGACCTATCGTCCGGTCAAGTTCAGAAATTCATGTATGGCAATGAAAATTATGGGGGCGAACCATTTTTCGTGCCAAATGACTCAAATTCAGATGGAGAAGAAGATGATGGGTTTATTCTTGCATTTGTCCATGACGAAAAGGCTGGAAAATCTGAACTACAGATAATAAATGCCAGGAGTTTGAATTTAGAATCCAGTATCAAGCTTCCATCAAGAGTGCCATATGGTTTTCATGGGACATTCATAAGCTCAATTGACTTAGAAAATCAAGTATATTGTAAAAAATAAATTAATTCGAAATATATGTACGTATATATAGCCAGTACTGTATTTTTTCAGTAGGAGAGATATTCCTGAGGGATGTGGTAGATAAATGTCCCCGGACTCTCATATTTTAAATTTCAAGGTTCTTTTTTTGTTGGGTTTTACTAAGTGGGTTTTCAAGAAACCAACCTTGGAGTTCTTGGCGTGTAGCTATATGTTGAGCTCAGCTGGTTTCTGTGTGTTTTTTTTATTTTTTCCTTTATTTATGGAGACTCATTATTGTGTTCTGTCTTCTAAATCTTTGAACTTGACATAATTTGCTGCATATTCAGTCTCAAATTCAGACTCAAATGGAATTCGTGTAGACGTATGATTAGATAGTTTGAAAAATTAAAAAACAACACCAAATCATTTTCAGACATATCAATCTCTTTCTTCACTCCATGTTTTTCAATCTGATTATTTTACTATATATGTCGGTTCTTGATTTATTTTATTTTTAATATCGATCAGTCAATTTGGTCCAATACTTAAAATATAGTTATTTAGAGCATCACAACCACCTTCAATTGTTTTAATTTGATTTAAAGCATGCCAATATTATGGAAGAATTGTACGGTCAACTCTTTGCACACAGAAAGTTAGCGGCAGTGACCCACACCGTTAATAAGGTCACACTATGAAATGGACGTGCTCTACTACAGCATAGTTAGTGTCCGTGATACTTTTAATTTATTTGCCTGTGATTCAATGTTAGCCACAACTTCGTAAAAGATACTTCTTCTTGAATCACCATCCACCACAATATACCTATCAAATGTCCTAATTCACTTTCCAATTGGCTCAACTTGCAAGAACCAACTATATCTTAATTTCACATCTTTGTAATTCGAATTTCTAGCAAGAGGAGAAAGGCTCGACTCTAACTTATCCCGACATAGTAATTGCAAGTCAATTCTCGCCCAGATTTGCAATTTTTAATATCCCAAAAGAGTCTGGAACAAAAAGCCAAACAAGAATATGCCAGGCCCGGAAATTGTTGATAACACCCCCCTTTCACTACAAAAGGGACACTCAAAATCTCACATAGATACAAAGAAAGTAACTCTTTAGAGCATGAACTTCACGTGAAAATACTCGTGGAACTTGTACCCAAAAATCAAATGGGGGGAGTTGACTATTGGAAACTGGAAAGAGACTCCAATAAAGTCCAAAATGGATACAGTGCATGGACATAAAAATGGAAATTGATATTTTTTTCTCAGATATAATCAATTATCTGCGCACAATTAATAGTAATATTATCTCATCTCTATCCACTGACCGGTTGGATGTTCTAACATGTTTGATGAGTTGGATTATAACTTTGTTCAGTGTTAATGATTACTAGTCAAGTTAAACACGTCGGATTATGTGTACCAAATATAATCGCGATAAGTAACAGTATTATAGCATGCATACTTAAATGCCCAAAACTCAGGAAGTGATAGCGAGGCCTAGCTAGGTCCCCGCTTCACCCCATTATGTGTTATATTGTGTTTGTGCTTTATTTTAATTTTTAAGTTTGCAAGGCAAGTCACCAATGGATAATGCACAACACATTACCATATGGTGAGATGGTGATTATCATTCTACATCATCGAAAAAATAAAATCTCAATAAAAGAAGGCACAAAAGAACCCGCAAAATTTATAGAGATTTGCTTGAATATGAAATTACATCATCTTTTACATCTATAGTAATTCATTATAATAATAATAATAATAATAATAATAATAATAATAATAATAATAATAAAAATAATAAATTAAGGTAATTCTCTCTTTTCTCTAATATCTCTTTTTTATGATCATTGAATAAACTCGAACGATGGTTCACTTTTTAGACTCCGAGCAGGTTGACTTGTATATGGACTTTGCATAACGACAATGATTAGACTTACATAATGTGAATACAGAATAATAGAAGGAAAAAAATTACAATCCGATTTCTCCAAGTGAAGACACGTTTCCAGCTGAATTGGATGACGGTATTGTACCTTTTTGCTTGAAAATTAAGCAAAAACCAATCGAAGAGACACGATCATGTATCATAGAGTATAGTGGCCATTGACAAAACCCAAAATCAACTAAAATAGTCTAAAAGTAATAAAAAAAAAGTATGTTCAAACCGTGGTCGGTCAATTAGTAAGATAGTTCTGCCTTTAAATTGATTCACATGACATATTTTCAATTCTTCTGATAAATCAGTTACTCCATTCATTCTTAACTACGTAAAATCGGTCTTGAAGTAATCAAAATTCGTAAACACATGGCACAAATTTTACCATCCAAAACCGATTTGGACACGGAGTAAGACTTTTAAATGTAATAAAATGGAGATTATGGAGACACTATTAATGATATTAGTGTCACGTGTTGGTACATTATAACACGAAGAAAGTCCATTTTCAACTCTTATCTTTTAGGACAAGATAACTAGACATTGAACTATTTCCCCCACTATGTTCCTTCGACTTCGCATTAAAATAAAATAAAATGTTGCACCAACATTTAGCTGTACCCTTCTTTACATTTATAGTGGAGAAAACACACAATTGCCTCATCGATGTCGAGTGTTTGTTGAATGTAACTCTGTGAAGGAAAGGGGCTGAAGACTCTTGATTAATGTCAAACTCCACATTCGATTTTGAGATAAACTTTATCTTGGACGGAATGTTATTTATCAAAAAGAATAATTGATTTTCACTCCGAACATTGTGATTAGTACTTGATGATACCAAAAAAATAAAAATAAAAAATCGCACCTGTTATCTCCGAGCTTGATGTGCTTGATGACTGAGATTGATTGCTAGCGAGATCTTCCAATACTTGAAACAAAAGCGTCGAGGTGTATCATTGTCATCCCTCCAATGCTTAAGTCAGAAAGAGAATTTATACATGAGGGTATGAATTGAAAATAATGAAAAACGTACTTGAATAATGAATTTTGGTTATGCATTTATAGATGGTGGTGGTAAAGTTGTAGAATGATTCAACCACCTATACTCCTTATTGTTATTGTGTAAGGTGTTCATGTTATATTCAAATTGTCCCTGTTTGTGTTTGATCATACTATGATAAGTCAATTATGTGGATAAGGGCCACATGGAGTTATAGTTGGAGTGGGAGTAAAGTCTTCTAGAAAGTATGGGGTAAATTGTGTTAGAGAACTCGTGGCCTTACCTCTTTGGTGGGAAAAACACGAAGGGCCAAGGTCGGGACATACGAAAGGTTGAGGTCGGGGTTGGGTGTTTATGTGACATTAGTATTAAGCGACCAACATGTACACTCCGAATGACACACTTTTAGAATAACATCTTCTTATTTGCTAACAAGGATTGATGCATTGAGACGTAAAAAATTTAGTGGCACAGCAACATATCTCATCTAACAGGTGTTATAGAATTCCTCAATAACTAGACTTTAGTTTCCTTTTTTCTTGTCAATTTTTTATTTCTTGAATTTGGTTCAAAAACAAATACGTCAGGACATGTCATCTCCAGACGAGTTTTGCGAAAACCGACTGAGTTGGCTCGAATATCCAACACTTGGCATCCTCCACCCAACCTTGAAATAGATTGGTTGAAGAAGAGAGTTCCGACGTAGGCCTTATATATTTTCACCACATAATTGCCGCCAGACAAAATATGGAAATTCATATTCAATAAAAAGTGCGTGGAGTGACCCACCTCGTTTTACAATGTCTATTTATTATTTAAATAAATCACCTTATATTCGAACTTTTATGTGACAAATTCACTTACGAGTACTACAATTAACGCGTAAAGTGTCTCATTAAGTCGACCTTGGATTTTGGAACAAGGTTCAAATGATGGAGTTGGTAAGTCGACCTTGGAACAAGATTCAACACGGCTATGTGGATCAAAAAGTATTGGATTTGAGAAAAAAATGAATTTAAGAATGTACTGTATTTGATAAATTTGAGAATGGAATGAATGTTTAATCCATTAATCCGTGCCTTCAATATACAATAGTGCAGTGTATATATACAGCAAAAAGAATCTACTCCTAACTAACTTACACACAGTACACAGCAATGAAAACGTAACAAATCCAAGCTGTACAATAACAAATCCCTTCTAGACTATTCTCTTGTTATTACTGCTATGAAATCCACGTGGCCTGTATCCTCTCAAGACTTTAGCCAGGTCATCTTTGAGCTGCTCCATCCGGATCATCCTCTAACTTTAACAACTCCCCGCAAGATGGTGAGTATATATCCATTACTCCCATCTTGGACATACAAAGATAAAAGCTTTGAGAACTTAAAGCCTCAGTCAGAATATCAACAGTTTGTGATATGCTAGTAACATGTTGTGCGATGATGCTGCCATCTTGTATCTTATCTCGAACAAGGTGGCAACCAAGCTCTATGTGTTTGGTTCTTTCATGAAACATCGGATTTGTTGCTATATGAATTGCAGACTTGTTATCACAATTTAGAAGTGTCGCTTGAGAATGAGTGATCTGTAAATCTTTAAGCAAGTACCTAACCCTAGTTAACTCACAACAAAGATTTGCCATTGCCATGTATTCCACTTCAAAGATGATCGTGATACAACTTGTTGTTTCTTTGATTTCCATGATATCAAAGATGTCCCAATGAACACACAATATCCTGTTATTGACCTCTTAGTGTCCAAACAAGCTCTCCAGTCTGAATCACAATACCCTTCCAGCTGCAATTTTGAATTTGATGGATAGAACAACCCTTGTCCAGGTGCCCTTTTGATATATCGCAACACTTTATGAGCAGCATGTAGGTGTGGAACCCTAGGATTAGCCATGTATTGGCTTAGTAGCTAAACTGAATACGCAAGATCAGGCCTGGTAATTGTTAGATAAAGTGGCCTTCTAATTAACCTCCTGTAAAGCGATGGATATGTAAGCAACTCTCTTGCATCCTTGCTAAGCTTTATATTTTGATCAAGAGGGATTCTAGCAGGAGCTGAACCAATGGTGCCTGAATCTCCCAAGATATCCAGAGCATATTTTCTTTGACGTATATGAATGCCATGTTTAGACCTTGCCACTTCAATGCCTAAAAAATATTTCAACTTTCCTAGGTCTTTAATTTTGAACCTGTCATTGAGACTGACCTCAAGGTCATTGATGGTATCAATACAGTTTTCAGCCACTATTATATCATCTACATAAACCAAAATTGCTGTCAAAGAACTACCAATGAACTTAGTGAACAAACTATAATCCGCTTTTGATTGCACGAAACCTTGCTCAATAATGAAATTGGAAAGTTTAGAATACCATTGTCGTGAAGCCTGTTTTAATCCATATAAGCTCTTGCGTAGTTTGCAGACTTTGTTGCCATTGATCTTTGAGCAACCGGGGGCAGCTCCATGTAAACTTCTTCGTCTAAATCACCATGTAGAAAGGCATTATTCACATCAAATTGACACAAAATCCATCCTTTGATTGCTGCCACTTCCAACAGAGTTCTGATAGTCACCAACTTCGCTACGGGCAATAATGTTTCATGATAGTCAAGTCCTTCCTGTTGTCTGTATCCCTTCACCACAAGACGTGCTTTGAGCCTTTCAATACTACCATTGACATTGAATTTGATTTTGTACACCCACTTGCATCCTATGGTCTTCTTATCAGGAGGTAGGTCGGCCAAAACTCAAGTATCATTAAGTTCTAAAGCTTTAATCTCAGCTTTCATGGCATCACACCATTCAGGAGAGGTCATGGCTTCTTGATAGTTTCTTGGCTCAGAAAGATTTGTTATCGAAGTTACAAAAGCACGATGAGGTGTAGATAATTTATCATATGAGATTCTATCACTAAGAGGAAAGATGCTACCTGCATTATTCATTTCCTTTTGCTTGTGCAACCTCTGAGATGGGAGAGATAAGGAGACTTGCTCACATACGAAGTCCTGCAAGTAAGAAGGAGCCCTTCGAATTCTTCCAGTCCTGCGAGGTAAGTGTGTTGCAACAGGATGATTTAGTTCTAAAGTATTACTGGGGAGTTGTGTGGCATCATGGCTAATTTCCATATTGGAGTTGGAGATTTCTGGACATTTTGCAATATCAGACATGAATGAATATGTTTGATTATTCGTGTGATGATCAGTACCATTGAGAGGGGAGATGACATGATCATTTGAGAGACTTAGATTTTGTGTGAAACTGAGGTGATCAAAGTTAGACAAAGAAGTGTTGAATTCAAGATTTTTGCAAGGAAAGATGTTCTCATAAAATGTGACATTCCTTGAGATGAACACTTTGCTGGTCTCTAGGTTTAACAATCTGTATTCTTTTACTCCAAATGGATAACCAATGAAGACACATCTCTTAGACCTAGGATCAAACTTATGCCTACCATTGACAAGTGTGTTG